TCAACTAAAGGCTATATAACCACTTGTTAGGTATCTTGTAAAAGGGCTTCTTTATCAGGTAGGGATTGAATTAGATGGCCACTGAAGTCTCTTGCAGTTCTGAAAGACGTTTCTAATAATTAACATTTATTTAGCATTCTAAAATGTGTAAGGTAGTTTTTAGACATCATCCCATTTGAATAATGACTCTATGTGATAAAGTATCACATATATCATCTCCATATTATAAGTGATTCTCAGAAAGGTTAACTGATTTCCCCATGGTTATACAGTGTCTTCTTTACTCAAAGGTCAATGTGCTAGCCACAATGCTACATCCCAACCCTCCTCAGTCCCCCCAAATTGTATGTTATTATTTGGTCTCTGAAATGGTAATCATTTGTTTTTCATCCTCAGGAGTTATTTATTCAAAAGCAAACATGAGCTGGAAGTGAGGAGAGGATACAGTTTCTTATAAAAGGGTGAGTAACAGGGGTTGAATTGCTTGAGACAAAAAGATAAGGAAGGGTAAGAAGTCTCAGTCCTGGGGTATATAGATCTAAGAATCGTTAGAACTCCAAGCTTCCATCAAGTTTCAGCTCATGGACCTTGTCTTACTGCAAGCCTTTCCTGATCCCCTTAGCTATAAGTGCTCATTCCTTCCATATCCAGTTATCATGTATGTACAGTGTCCTAAAAGTCTTAGTGCAATCTTAAACTATCAAAGACTTTTGAAACACTTGTTGTTGTTTAGTCATTTCAGTCACATCTGACTCTTCGTGACCCCATTTGGGGTTTTCTTGGCAAAGATACCAGAGTGGTTTGCCATTTCCCTCTCCATCTCATTTTGTAGATGACTAACTGAAGCAAACAAGGGTGAAAGTGAAGATCGAACAGCTAGTAAGTGTCTGAGGCCGGATTTGAACTCACAAAGATGAATTTTCTTAACTCCAGGCCAGATGCTCTATCCACTGCTTCATCTTGGAACACTCAGACTTCAGCTATTTATGTATTATGTCCCCTATAGAATTTCAGCTCCTAAAGGTCAGCAGCTGACTTTTTGTGGGGTATTTTGTGTTTGGGGGGGAGCTCAGTGATCAGTCCGGCACCTTGCATGTAGTGGGTACTCAGTAAATACTGGTTGGGTTGGATTCTGTAAGTTCAGTGAAAATTGCATTTGATTTTTTTTCTAGGCAAAATTCAACATACTTTTCTTTACTCAAAATTCTGGGGAAGTGTTTTAGAGTACTGACTAAGCTTTGAAAAATTATGAATATATTTGAACTTCATCATCATCCTTAAGCTAAGGCAGATGGCAATGGCAAGACCTGATTGTTTTTATGAGGATTATTTCATGCATGGAAGTGCGTCAGAACAATCATAAATTACATGTTCCTTTGTGATATCATCTTAACAAACTACAGTGTCTTTAATACCAGGAGAGTGCAGTTCCCTGCAAAGAAACAACATGAGACTACAGTGTGCATAATTACAAACTCCCCAGCCTGGCATTTAGGGCCTTCTACAATCTACCTACCTTTCTTGTCTTATCTCACCTTAGTAGCATTCACACACTCTGGGCTATCAGAAGTTTCCTGACCTAGACCATCCTGCACTCTAACCTCAATGCATTTACTCAGGCATTTACTCACATCTAGAGTACACCCCTTCCTCATCACTCCTTTCCTTCCTTTTGGTTTCATCTTAGGCAGCACCTTCTCCACAAAATCTTCCCTGATTCCCCTCCAGCTGACGGAAATTCCTCAACTTTGTCTAGAGTCCTAGTACAAAGAGCTGGATTTGAAGCCAGATACCATGCTGCTTACTACTTGTGTGACACTGAACAAGTCAAATCGCTTCTTTGGTTTTCTTCTTCCTATCTCTAGAACATAAAGGGATTAAACAAACTCTTCTTCAAGGTTCCTTCCATATCAAAGCAAATAACCCTAAGCCAGGTCTTAGATTAGTAAACAAAGAGTGCAGACTGAAAGAGTTCAGGCTTTGTGCAGACTGAATGTCTTGAGGAGAGATTGCTGGATTTGAGCATGGGTAAAAAGTCAAATAGTCATTACCCATGTAACCTCAGGTAAACCACGTAACCTCTCCTGGCTTCAATTTCCTTATGTGTAAAATGAGACATTTTGACTAGATGACCTTAGACATCTTTTCTAAATCTATGTTCTTATGGTCCAATGAGCCTATGAAGAAGGAAAAGCTCTAAGTTATTTCAACATTCAACTCAACATTTTTAAAGCCTTTTCTATGCTCAAGGCATCGATTATAGGTGCTTGGGATACCAATATGAAAATTAGCCCTTTCCCAAAAGGACCTTACATGCTCCAGGGGGAATACAATATGAACATAAGGAAATAGGAGGTAATTTGATGGAAAGGGAAGGCCCAGGAAGGACTTCATGGGGGAGGTAGCACTTAGGTTGAGCCTCAAAGTTTAGGCTTCTGAAATGAGGAGGCACTATAGGCATGGTGCATGATTTGTTCCAATGTATCAGAATCAAAGAAAGAATATTAAATCGGGCAATGGCTAGTCATCCAATCTGGCTAGAAAAGAATAGGTGAAAGGAAATACTGTGAAATAAGATTGAAAAGGAGAACTTAATTGCAGAAGACCTTAAATGCCATTTTTTAAGAGGCACTAGGGAGCCAGAAAAGATTTTTGAGCAAGGGAATGACATGGTCAGACCTCTACCTTAGGAAAAGGGAATGTGATAAAAAAAAAAGAAAAGGGAATGTGGTGTAAGGGAAGATGTATGGACTTTGGAATCAAATAACATGGTTCAAATGTCACAAACCTGTGTGACATTGAGTAAATCACTTAACCTGAGTTTCCTCATCTGCAAAATAAGGGAATTTGACCAGATTGTACCTAAGGTTATTTCCAGCATTAATTCTCTTTTACCCCCATTAATTCTTTAATTATATTCACAGTTTTATGAAGGATGGCTTGGAGAAGGAAGAGATGGCAGGGATACCGATTAGGAGGCTATTACTATAGTCTAGTTGAGAAGTGCTGGTGGCCTAGAATAGAGTGGTGGTCTTTTTAGTGGAGAGAAGGATATGGATGTGGGAGACAATCTGATTTTTTTTTTAATACCACCATCTCAAAAATCATTTGTAATTAGGCAGCTAAGGTCTGGGTTTATTCCTTTTATAATTAATTTCATATTAACCTTATAGAAGCAATCTTACTATTAAATAATCTTACTGTTAAATAATTGGTCAAATAGCCTTTAATCAAGTTTCCCCCAATCTCATCCAAGGACTCTCTGTGCAATTCACCAAGGTCTATTTCTAAGGGTGAAATTTTAAAAGGGGGAAATAATTATAATTCATAGCTATTGCACCACTATAATCTCTACTTCCTGAGCCATGGTACTGATCCCAGGTTCTACGCACTTTGACATCATGGGTGCAAACAAGATGATTCAGGTTGCTGAAAGCCAAATCCAACCCTGCCTTTGTGTGTGTGCGAGAGTGTGTGTGTGTCTGTGTGTGTCTGTGTCTGTGTGTGTGTCTGTGTATGTGTGAAAGAGAGAGAGAGAGAGAGAGAGAGAGAGAGAAAAGAGAGCAGAGGCCAGGGGGGCATTATAAATGGCAAAAAATGCATGTCTTGGAGACATGGCCTTGGAGAACAGAAATAAAAAGCACTGCTTTGTGTTTCTATGACTAATTTTTGTTTTTTTTTTGTTTTAATTTTTGTTTTATTCCCTCTTGCCTCCTAATTTTGAACTTGGAAAATCGGTTTTACTGCAATGATAGTAGTTAATACACACTTGGGAATTATTTGTGAACTTTGAAAGATGGGGGAGGAGATTAGAGGAAGCTTGGTAAAATCTTCATGGTAAACTGAGGCAAAAGGGCTACATGACATTAATTCTTTAGCAGATAATAAATCATCAAATTAAAAAGAAAGAGAGGGGAATCGCTCTGGAGCACTTTAATCTTTTTTCCATGGTGACATCAGGAAGGATTCCTATTTCCTTAACAAAATAATTGGTGATTTTCCATTTTTATACATATATACACACACATATATAATGAAAATATGGAGGAAGAATGTGTGTATGGAGATAATTGACTAATGGTCATTACAGAACAATCCACAGTCTTCTTATCTTTATCCTTTGTTTGTTTGTTTGTTTCCTTCACCCCTTGCAGTATTTTCCCAAAATCACAACCTAAGCTCTATAACTTTCAGATATTCTGTAACATTCAGTTACCAGCTTTTTAAAATGCTGGGTCTTCTCTGACTTGGGATTTAAAATCGGGCTACCCTTCCACTAATCTTTGCCATTCAATTTCTACCTAAACGTAGGACTTTTGAGCTCTGGGTTATCTAGCAGAGATTTCCTAGACCGAATACCCTAAGAGGGCAAGGAGGGAAATGTGATGAGAAATGTTAGGAACAAGTTTTGTTTTGTTTTGTTTTGTTTTTTGAAAAGTTAATGAGGCTGGGGGAACGTTTGCTTCAGCAACCCACGACTCATGGCACTGCAGTGAACCTCTTCCTCGCCTCCACCCCCGAGGGTGAAGGGATGCTATGGGGAAGAGAAAAGCAGCTCTATCCTTCCTCTTTTTTTGGCAGATGCAACCAGAGAGTAGGGTGCATCCTCACCTGACCAAATTGTCCCAGAACCCTGTGGGGGTGGAACTACTAAGAGAAATAGCCTCCTTCCAGATCCTGTTATGTAGCACAGTACTTCAATCCCTCGAAGAAGAAAAAAGAAAAAAAACCGAGCCCACACTCACACGTGTGTGCCGAAGGACTGGGAGTTGACAACAGTCCCCCTACCCCTCAACCTGTCCGGCTCCCAACCCCCACCCCTGGTGCCCAGCGCGCTTGGAGCTCCGGCTCACACAGGAACACACACACACACACACACACACACACACACACACACACACAGAGCGCAGCACAGAGGCAGGCTAAGGGGCAGCTAAGCGGCACCGCCTCCTTTCCTCACTCCTCCCCCTCCTTCTCCACCTCCCCGCCCTCCTGGAATTCTGGCTGCCAGAGTAGCAGCAGTAGCCCCAGCGGCAGCGGCTTCTCGGCATGGTCTGCTAAGCCAGCCTGTCGGGCAACCGGAGTCCGAGGCAGAGAAGGCGCAAGGGGAGCTTTCCGACGCCAAAGGAAGAAAAGCAAAAGGCAAACGCCCCGTTCTCCTTGGGATTGATTCTCCACCTGGCAGAAATCTGCCCTAAGCCGCGTTCCGTCTCCCCTGGGCGCCCGGGCCGGGAAAAGGTGTTAGCTCGTGAGATCACTTCGGGACAACCGAACTGGGACCCACGTCGATCCGGTGCGGCAATGGGGCTTTATGGGGTTGCTGGAGCCGCTGTCCTGGTGCTGCTTGCCGGACACTTCTCCCTGAGCTCGGCGCTGGAAGAAAAGAAAGGTAAAGGTGTCTCCTTCGCCTGCAGCCTCCCCCTGTGTTCCCAGCTTTGCTTCTATCCTCACCTGGTCTCCCCTCCGCCAGCTCGCGTTCCCTCTTTCCACACCCTGCCTTAGCCTCTCCCTCGGTTTCTCTCGTCTCAGTCCGCCGGCGCTCCCCCTTTCCTCCCTCGTTTCCTGCAAGATCAGCTGAGAGTGGAGGTTGAGCCTGGCGGTGCTGCCCTGACAATCCAGTCTGGCCCAGAAAGGAGGGGGTACTGGGGATCTCTGGCTGGGGAATTGAGGTCCGGAATGGAAACCTGGTGAACGGACGCGCCCTCAGTCTAGCTATCGAGCTGCTGGAGCTCCATTTGCCTCTGCACAGTAAACTTTCTCAGTCGGTTTTCGTCTCCTTGGCCGGCTCAGGAGACTGCCCGCGTGGGGGTGGGGACGAGGAGGGGGGAGCGAGGTAGACTTCTGAGGGTGGGGGTGCCTTGGCATTGGCCGAAGTCTACTCTGGGCGGCGTATTGTGCAGCAGGGATAATGGGACAGTATTCCAAGTGACGCCCCCCTCACCCCCCCAGTTTTCTTCGGGACCATTGCAAGACGGCCCTCATACTTCTCAGGAAGGCGTAAGATATCAGGCTGGGGATAAGTCCCACCAGTTAAATGCTATTAAGGGTGTCTGTCACCTGTCTAGTCCTCTGGATCGGCTTTGTGGCCGGTTAATAACTCCTGCGCCAAATTTAAGAGACAGACTATTCTCGCTCCCTCACTCACATTTCATTGCTCTCTTTCTGTAACCCGTCTTGTCACTGGTCCGGGGTGCGGTTTGTGGGGGGTAGGAATAGCCTGAACCCTCCTCCATGCACACTAAACCTCTAAGTAAAAGAGAAAGTCTCCAGATCCGACTCCCTCAGCCCCCATTTCCACTTTTTACATTCAGGTCCCCCGCCTTCAGTCACCCTCACAACGCTTCAGGATTTAGTCTTGCTTCCCCTTTCTAACTGTTGTTGGTGTGTGTGTGTGTGTGTGTGTGTGTGTGTGCATCTGTCTGTCTGCTTCTGTCTGTCTCCCTCCTCTCCCTCTGTCTCCCTCCTCTCCCTCTGTCTCCCTCCTCTCCCTCTCTCCGCCTCCTTCTCCCTCTTCCACTCTGGTGGACTGTCGGCCTATGCTTGATCGCTCCCTGCCCTACAAGGTGCGCAGGTCTGTGCAGGAATCAACTGTGGAGCCGGGACGCACTCTGCTCACCTTTGGTTTCCTCCCTACCAGCCTCCCTTTCTTACTTATATACTACTCCTGAGTCGCTTCAGGTTCTTTCCAGGCTTCTTAAAATACTTCGTTAAACTTCTAGGGGGCAGTTCTAGGATCGTGAATGGGTTCGCCAGGGCTTCTTTGGAGAATTAGATATTTGATAGGTTACAGAATCCTCAAAACCAACTGATGACAGGAATCCCTTATAAGGTTTTAGTGCAAATCGTTTTAGGGAATAACTTTGCAAATGAAGACTCCATACTCTTTCTTCTCTCGGGTATGGGGTGGGGAGTAGATAGTCAAACAACGTAACTCCGGTTTAAAGAAACCAGTAAAGGTCCACCATTCTCTCCGAACCAAGCATGACAGAATCTGATTTCGTGACTACTAACAATAAGCTCCCTTGGAACAAGAAACATGCCTTAGAAGACTCGAATTGCACAATCTTAAAATTAAGAAACTCGTGTTCCAAGAGTCAGGTTCCGACCTGTTGTTGATGTCATTGGCATAGGGTGTTGGTTGTATGTGTATGTGGTGTGTGTGTGTGTGTGTGTGTGTGTGTGTGTGTGTGTGTGTTTCGGGGGAAGAGGAGTTATAAACTTCCTGACTCTGTTTGCTCTTCTACCGATAAAGAAGTTTTGAAACAGTTTATTATATCAAATCTGCAAAATACAGATGAGAGGGTGAATATTCTCCTTCTATACTGGGGAGACAATGGTCAGTGTTGAAAGATCAGACCTGTCTGTTGTTGTTTGTTTGCTCGTTTTTCATTTAGTGAGTAGCCCTGAGATTTATCATCACAGATTTGGATATTTTGACAAATGTAAAATGACTTTTTCTCCTCTTTTCCAAACTAATGCTATATAAATCCACCTTACCTCACATTTAAGATTTATAGAGACGAAGTTCTCTTTTTCTCCCAGGTACAAGGATACCTTTCTAATACCGATTGTAATTTTTACTATTCATCGACTTGAAGGTGTCACCTTTCTGACAAGATTTTTTCACAACCCTTTAATGGCTGATTTTTGAATATTTGTTATGTCTGAAAACTTTCTAGTATTCTATACTTTAAAATGTTCCAGCTGTTTCTGAGAAAATATATCTTGTTCTCTTTGTATTCATTTTAAATAGAATACCCTTTAATGTGGGGATAAAAAGGACTAAATTGTAAGAAAATGAATGTGCACTTAGGATAGTAAAATGGAATGGTTAATTTCTCAATACAAATTATTTAGGTTTGGGTGAGCCTATTTTAGGAAGGCTATTATTTATGATCAGGTGTGCTTAAATTCAACTATGCCTTTAATCAAGAAAGCCTAATCAATGTTGATGGGAGTATTTAAAAGAAATTTGTTTAAATCTTGAAAGTAGAAATATTTGTGCATTTAAAAGAACAATGACAGGTGTGTGTGACTTCAACCTTTTGACCTTGGTCAGATAATAGAAGACTAGAAAGGGAAATGAGCTTAAGCAGATGAACACCGTCTTTTGAAAGTCAAGGCAAACTTCTAGTCACAAGTCCAAATTTCTCCCCCAAGTTCTTTTCATTCTTTCCCTTCCCACCCTCTTCTGTCCAAAATGGTCTCCTTTCTAGGAGGTAGCTCAGGGGCTAAATTAGAGGATGAACAGAGATTTGTGTTGTAGCACAAAGCAAGCCCCTTCACATCTTGTTGCCTCCATTGCAAAACTGAGAAGGAAACTACTGACTTGGGTCCCAGGGCAGGGTGTCTCTGCTGGGAGCAACTAATAAATGTAAACTGTTCTGCAAATCCCAAAAGTCCTGAGGATTGCTATAATAGCAAAAGAGATATTTGTGTACTTAGTGTACTAAATGTAACATCACTGATGGATTGTTGCAATGCCTCCAAACTCTTACTTTTTTCACTCACTACCAAGAAATGCAGTGAAAGTTGTACAGGTGAACCCTGTCCCATATTCTGCCCTGGGCTGTTGGAAAACTGAGCATAATTAGGATGTCAACATGGGGCTGCTCCCAAATGTTCTGCAACTTAAAAGAGAGAGAGAGACAGACAGACAGACAGACAGACAGACAGATGGTGTTGAGGATCTGATGGCCATTAATATGCTGACAACTTTTTTTTTCTCACCCAAAATGGACAATTCAGCCATGTTTCAAAAACAACAACAACAAAAAAAAAACCAAACCAGTTCGACTTCTTTTCCCTTTTATATCTGGTCTAGGCTTCAAGGTATTCTGTCCAAAAGCAACCCTCAGTGGAGCATATCTCTTCATTCTTATCCTTCTGGCTACTTCTCAGGTCTGATTCTAATAATAGGATCAGAGTCCAGGAATGTGAGAACATAAAATCAGCTGTCTTCAGCTTCTTCAAGAATCTACCCATAAAACAGTTCCTTTGCTCTTCAAAAAAAAGTTTTGTTTTGTTTTTGTTTTTTTTGGTTTCTGTTACACTGGGCAGATGGATGTTTACCACCAACAACAAAAACCCTACCACTTTGGACCAAAGCATTTGAGAAAGTGGTTCCACAGAAACAGGTAGAATGAGGTGCCATGACTAATTGAGTCCTTTGAGTGACTTGAAGGGTGAAGGAGCCCTTAACCCATCTGCTTCTAAGTATGTCAAGTAGTAGCTACTCTGTCTCAGACTTGGAGTGAACAAATTTCAGTCTGCTGTAAATCTCACATGGGGATCTGAAAAAGCTTACCAGGAAGCATCCCAATGACCTGCATTGGCCCTTTCCTTGGTCCATCATCAACAAATGCAGAGTAGTGTGAACCCTCTTATTTCTTGCTCACAAAGTTCTCCAATGTAATATATTCACATTTGCCTTCGAGGTGAGACCACCTTACCCCATTGTGTTCTTTTGTCTCACAAGTAATTAAGCCTCCTTGGATGTAGTCCAAGGCAGTATAATAATGAGTGAAGTTCTGACAATATGTGGTATGACAATACTGTTGGTACGTATTGTAGGATGCGGTCAGTAAAGTGAATTTTAAGCTATTTTCCAGTATTATTGACATTGTATTTGCATCTATCCACACTTTGCTGTTCTGACTACCACCCCCTCCCCATGACCAACAGCACACTTTTGCAAGATTGCAAGATGAAGTGAGAGATGCTATCCACTATTCCTGAGAAAAACCTATGACCTTGGCCTCTAGCATTATGCTCTGTTACCAAACTGAGCTAACCAGATATTCTGAGAATAACATTTATGGTGCTCATCCAGATTATCAATTTGATTCTTGGCTTGCCTAGGCAGCTGCTCAGTGGACAAAACTGGTCACTGCTTTGTGTTTCTCCAGGCATATATGCAAATTGGGCATCATAGCACATGTTTATAATGAGCTATGAGACCTTCAATGAAAACTTATCTAATTCATGTTGATCAAGAACAGAATGCTCTGTTTTGTAAATGAGTGAGTGACTAAGGAGTGGTGGCAGAATGTTTTGCAAACATGGCACACTAGACGGGCTAATAAGAACATAGAGGGGCTTCATCTCTAGCAAAGCACTTTGCAACTTTAAAGCATAACAAAAATACAGATTATTTTTCTCATTCTCTTGTTCTTTTTGTTATATATTTTGGGAGCTTTTTCCTTGTTCCAATAATGAATTTTTAAATTAGGAGAAAAATAATGACAGCAAATGGCATTTATGTAATGTTTTAAGATTTGCAAAGCACTTTGCCTATTATCTCATTAGAATTTACAAAAACCCTGTGGGAAGGGACTATTATCCCTACTTTACAGATTAGGAAACTGAGGCAGATAGTGGTTAAATGAC